GACTTAGCGAGAGGGCGAGGTGCGCAGATATGAGGTCCATAGAGCACCGGAGAAGGTTGAGCCGAGTAGGAGAGACTTTGCCGGCGTCGTACAACGTCTTGAAGGGTACAATTGACTTGAGGTAAGGGCCCCGAGTAACATCAGGATTAGGATAGCCGGATAGACAAATTAGAGCAGCAGGATCGAAGTGAACGATACCGAAATTTATAACCCAAGTGACTACAAAAAATATCGCAGACAGGCAGAGGCGGCAGCGTTGGTGCTAGAAGAAAGAGCTGGCCAATATAAAATCTATTGCAGGTTAGGATCGGACTCACAGACTGAAAAACAAAGCGGACGATAGATTTGAATGTGATTATGTACGACCGCGGCGTCAATTCGGCGTCGGCATCGGCGCAGAAATCTAGACATGGATGAAATGCAAGTCAGTAGTTGGCGGTCAAGGAGGGGATAAAGACTATAAGGGACGTCCGATCCCGATTGAAGGGTATGGGACCCGGGATCGCACCGGCACCTCGGCGTCGGCGTCGCGGAAACAATTCAAGGTCAATCGGGGAGTAACTGCCGAGGATCCGCTGCACTGTCAAGAAGCCCGAGCGTCTGATTTTAATGAGCGTGAATCCGGAGACGAGACGAGACGCGCACACCGCGAACGAGTCCGTGTTTGAAATAGGGGGTAAAAGTAACGCGCGTTACAGTACGTTCATCAATCGTCTCGCACATTAGCGGGGGGAAAGGGAATCCGGTCGAAGGTCCTGCGAATTAAGGTAGTTAGGGACGCTAAGAGGTAGATGTGAGGAGCCAAATTTCACCCCACCCGGACCGAAGAACAGAGCGCGCGACCAAAAAGCTTGCTTGTGGTCCCAAGTGGCTCGACCGGAGTCGAAAGGGAATCTTCTGTAATAAAATTTATGCAATTTCACAATCCGGCGCAGATGCGGATCGGCCGCGATCGAGCCGATGCTATGCAACCTCGTTAAGTTGATCAACTGCGCTGGGAGTAGTAAAAGAAATCACTCACCGCCATCCCGCTGCGTTGGATCTCTCCTGAAAATCAATTTAGTTCGAGGTGGAGGAAATAAGAGCGATGGCATGGAGCTCAGCTGACGAAGTAAAAGACCGTGCGACCAAAAAGGGGGTGCTCGCCATCCAATGGCTCGCCCCCCAGCCGAACGATGATATTCTGTCAATGCGCAAACGGAGCGCCACGACCGCACTCAACGCAGATGCGGACCGTCCGCCATTGAGCCGTTCCAAACGGTGAAGGAGTGCCTCGTTGGGCCCATCGTTTCCGGTTTCATAAAGAGAAGGAGACTCACCGCCATCTGGTTGAATCCCACCTGCAAATTAGGTCAGTCAAACAGTGAGGACACGAACCTCTCCCGACTGCGGAAAACAACAGGGCGAGAAAAAATATGACGCCCTATGAATGGCCTCGACCCGGAATCGAACGGGGATCTCTGCGATAAACCGAGGAGAGGTTCACATGCAGTGCAGACGTGGACCGTCCGTCACCGAGCCGATATTAGTCAGGAGTTGGACCTCGTTGAGTGCGACGGCGTCGGCTGCTTGAGCGTCTACCGCCAATGTAAGCAAGATGCGAAGAAGGAGCAGGGATTCGAACCCCACCCGGACCAAATTTGAAAGGTGTTTGAGATGTACAACATGGTTCGACCTCCCTCCTGCAAATGAAGTCGGGTGAGGGGGTAAAAAGGAACGATTGGAAAGCGAGCCTAAGCTGACGACGTAAGAAGAAGGACGTACGACCAAAAGAGATCGCAAAGGGTAATGACTCGACCCCGAGTCGAACGGAGATCTTCTGCGCAACATGCCGGAAATGGCCGGACAACGTATGCAGTGCAGATGCGGACCGTCCGCCATCGAACCGATACTATGTAGGAATCGTCCTTCAATATGTGGGTTGATGATGTAGTAGCGGGGTATTGAACAAGATGGAAATGAAGACGAACCTAGGAGCCCGAATGGTGATCGCGAGTCTATGTGAATCGGCCTTGAAGCGATGCGCCGAACGTACCAATAATAATGAATGAGGCGAAAAGAGGGCACGCAAAAAGACATGCGCTGAGCACAGAATGGCTCGACCCCGAGTCGAACGTGGAACTTCTGCCGTGGATGTATTTCATCTGATCCAGGACAGAAACGGACTGTCCGCCATCGAGCCGGTAGCATCGAGGATTTGTCCCCATTGAGTGTCACACTGATCTTTCGGTGTTGTCATGACGGCTTCACTGCGTATCAGTTAAACGAAAGAAAAGCGAGGTATGGTGCTCACACATTCGAAATTTCTGCTGGTAGCATAGGTTATTTGAACATAGTAGAAAGAATGAGGGCCAAGCTCGAGCCGACGAGGCAAAAGAAGGCGCGACGGGACAAAAGAGTATTCCACGCCATCTATTGGCTCGACCCCGAGTCGAACGGGGATTTTCTGCGTAACGTGATAAATTCAAGCAAATTCAGAACAGAGGCGGACCGTCCGCCATCGAGCCGCTGTTTACTGGTGGGGTCGAGCCGTTCGTGTAAATGGCTGTGCAGCCATCCCGCCGATCCGTGGAGATTCCAGATTCCAGTGTGCAGCGGGACCAGTAGGTGGTGCAGTGTGAGACCAAGGAAAGCAGCGTAGAGCCGGACGGGAAGGCCTAGCTTCTGGGACCAGGCAGGACGGTAGAGATATCGACAAGTGAGTGAAGTGTTTGCCCCCGCATCCCCGGATCACACCGGGTCACACCTCACGGTCACGGTCACAGCACCACCTCACGAAAAACACCATCCCCCATCCAAAATGTCGGGAATCGGCTCGTTCATCTCGTCGTTCTTCCCCACCACGTACGCCGACGCCGCCGAGGAGAAGCCCGCCCCTGCCGAGGACGCCAGCGCAGAGGAGCCCAGCGCCGAGGAGCCCAAAGAGGAGGAGGCGGAGGAGGAGGAGCCCGAGGATGTGCGTTCTTCTTCTTGAGGGTGTGTCTGAGAGAGTGTGTGCGCTGACGTGGTGTGGGATGCAGGCACACCCGGCGATCCGCGCAGAGTGCGAGGCGCGGCCCGAGTGCGCGCCGATGAAGCACCACTTTGAGAAGTGCCAGGCGAAGGTGCAGGCCGGCGAGGGCTTCAAGGGCGAGGAGTGCGTTGAGGAATTGTGCGTGTCCCCCTTCCACCTGCTGCTCCGTTTCTGACTATTACCCCCGGCGCAGGTGTAAGCCCTACCCATGATCGCGTGCGTGCCCGCTGACCCGCCCTCCCTCGGCGTCTCTTGCCCGCAGTCCAGTAAGCCGCCGCCGCGCCTACCCATTTTCATCGTCGTTGCTAAACCAACTCAACGCAGCCTGATGCACTGCTCCGAGGCCTGCGCCGCGCCGCAGCTCTTCACCAAGCTGCGCTAGGCCCCATCACGTATCCGCCTCCCGATAGAGAGTCAGACGGAGGGTGCGTTCGCTTATTATTCTTCCGCGGCGCCTGATGCTGACGCTACGCGAAGGAGTGCGCGCAGACGGATGAAGGTGGTAGACGTATAGAAAAACCGTGGCGTCAATATATTGCTTCTTCTTTGATGATACGAGCTTCGCCGTTACATGTCCCGCTCTCGTGCTACTCCCGCTCCACCGTCTACGTGCGGAACGTGAATGCACCGTGCCCGCGCTCTGCCGTATCCCGTTCTCTCCCCGATGGAATATCCCCGTCTGCAGGGATGCGCTGAGCGCCACCGTCCCCGCCCTGCCCGTGCTGTGCACCACCGTGTGCATGACGCACGTCCGCTCATCTAGCTGCCCTTGCCGTCGCCGCAGATAAGATGCGAGGATCTATACGTACACACCTCGCCCAAACGATGAACGAGCCCCCCTCCTCCTCAGTTACTGACCCAGCGCGCTACGTACTACGTGACACCACGCCCTGCCCCCATCGTCCGTCCTTCCCTGGATCGAATAGCTCCGCATATGAGATTGCCGCAGGAGGGGGTGCCCGGTCACCTCGAGCGGAGTACTCCCTCTTTTTTCTCGCGCATCTCTATTCTGATCCCAGCCTGATACACTTGACCCCCCCGCAAACCAGCGCCGGACCATTACAATCACCACGAGGATCTTCCAAAGGACACTCCCCACTCGCTATCGGCTCGATGGCGGAGGGTCCGCGGCTGCACTGGATTGGGGTTTTCGCATCATAAGTACTTCGCAGCAGGAAGATCCCGTTCGACTCGGGGTCGAGCCATGAGTCGTCCAATCTGCCTGTTTTTTTTCATTTTTACCCTGCGTTTCGAATCTGATCACTTCGCCATAGGACGCTCCTTGCTCAGCATTTATTTATTCCAGACCACCTTCTCCAGTCTTCAAGCGCGCCGCTGATCTCCCAGCACCAACCACCTGACGAATCTAACGAGGTACATTGCACACTTGATATCGGCTCGATGGCGGACGGTCCGCGGCTACGCCACATGATGAGGCACTCTATGCCTGCTGTTGTAGAAGATCCCCGTTCGACTCGGGGTCGAGCCATCCCATTTACGCCATGGTTTTTGTTTGATTCCCGCATCGTTATTCTTATATTCCCGCATCGCCACCCCGATTTCCCCCACTTGGCAGGCCGATACTATTCCTCGCTCAACATTTATACTCGGACCAGCTTCGTCTTCAGCTGATCTTAGCAATCAAAACAGCCAACAAACACCACGGACCTAACTAAGCACACCTCAGGACTCGGAACGGCTCGATGGCGGGCGGCCCGCACCTGCATTGCGTAGAGTAGGTACTGCTGCATTTGCAGAAGATCCCCGTTCGACTCGGGGTCGAGCCATGAGGAAATTAGCAGGTCGCTTTTTTGTCGCGCATTCCGAGGTTCGTTCTCCTTGGGGCTGGCTCAAGGAATTCCATGTACTGATTTTACAGACGGGTGTGTCCGTTTCACGACGAGTCCCCGTACCTCGCTTTCTTTTTGTTTCACTGATACGTAGCGCAGGTATCACACCTAATGAGGGACAACTCCTCGCTGGTACCGGCTCGATGGCGGACGGTCCGCGTCTGCACTGCCTGTTTGCTTCTGCCACTCATCCCAGGCAGAAGATCCCCGTTCGACTCGGGGTCGAGCCACTCCCTGGAGCACGATGCATCTTTCCGTCGGTCGTGCATTTCTTTTCCTCATCAACCCGAGGTTCGGTTGTCATTTCGTACACCTTGCTTCACTAAATCCATTTTCCAGAGATCAAAGGCCCCAGATGGCGGTGGGTACTTCTCCCTGACCAATCTGCAGGTCAGTTGATGAGCCTAAGAACCTCCACTCTTGACTAGTACCGGCTCGATGGCGGATGGTCCGCATCTGCACTGCGTATATTTCGAGGACGTTGCCCGCGGACGATCCCCGTTCGACCCGGGGTCGAGCCATGCAGGCGACGGAACTTGCTTTTGCCGCGCGTACTTTTGCCTTGTCAGGTAAGCGTTGCTTTCGTTTGGTTTGTATACCTTGACTAAATTATTTGCAGGAACTTCAACCGGATGACGGTGCCTCCTTTTCATTTGCCAATGCGCCCGTCCGGGATCAAGCTAGGGAGGGCCAACTGGCTCCTGGTATCGGTTCGATGGCGGATGGTTCGCATCTGCACTGCCTAGTTGGGTTGATATCAAGGATCTTGCGCAGAAGATCCCCGTTCGACTCGGGGTCGAGCCATAGCTCTGAGTTTTATTTTTGCTCACTCCCTCTTCACCTCACTACATCCTTGGCACGTTCAGAGCACCCCGGCACCTGGGGATTTGACATTGGGGCACCATACAAAATCGTTCTTCGCGTTCATCTCTTTTGTTTTTAATTTGACTAGGTACGAAAATATTTGGGCATATGGAAGGACCGCTCCCAGCTGATATCGGCTCGATGGCGGACGACCCGCCTCTGTACTACATGGTCGCATCCTCCATCTTCATACCTGCAGAAGATCCCCGTTCGATTCGGGGTCGAGCCATCACATCTTGGAGCAGTCTATTTCTTTTATTCTACATTTTCGATCTGGTTCCTCCGGCTGAGAATTACTTCCTAGCACTAGTACCTCTCCACGGATCAGCCCCGTCCTACTGCGCCCAACCTCTCAGTCGTCAAACGCTCGGATTGCAGATACCTCCCCATCACCGAACCGCAACCAAGACGACGAATCAAAGTAGGTGCAGCTCACGATTCAGAATGGCTCGGTGGCGGAGGGTCCGTGTCTGCATTACATGAATTCTCTGCATTTCTTCAAGGCAGAAGATCCCCGTTCGACTCGGGGTCGAGCCATTGTTCGTGATGACCGTCTTCTATTTTTCTCGCCTTTCAAGTTTTACCCTTCATTCCTCCCCAACCCATTTTTTTTCTCATCCCTCTGCTTGGAAAGGCGAACGCCACTTTGCGTCCACACGTTTAAATCTGACTTGTCTCACCAGCTCCGAACCGCAGACCTAGGCACCCTTGGGCCTTAGAACGGCTTGGTAGCGGACGGTCCGCGCCTGCACCGAATGGTGACGCAGGTTTCACAGCAGGAGGGTCCCGTTCGACTCAGCGTCGAGCCATAGTGCTGTATTGGTCATTTTTTTCTTCATTCTTGTGCTTCTGCTTTGGCAGACAGGCTTATACTATTCCTCCCTCAGCCCTCAGCACCTAATCACACAAAGGACCGTATGATCACAACTAACAGGACGGATCGAACGAAGTTCCCCTCCCTCCTCTTACCGGTTGATGGCGGAGGGTCCGCGTCTGCATCCAATGAGGGTGTTGTAGCCAGCTCATTTACTGCAGAAGATCCCCGTTCGACTCGGGGTCGAGCTACTGTGAGCAAGATTTTTGGTCGCGCGTTCTTTTCTTCGGGGAAGTGACGTTGGGTTCCCCACTCCTTCCTTTGAGTGTGATTAACTAACTTAATTTCCAGGAGCTTCGACCGGATGGCGGCGCCTCCCTTTCCTTCGCACACCTAAACATGTTCCACCTCTAACTAGTACCGGCTCGATGACGGACGGTCCGAATCTGCATTGCATTCGATATTCCTGCCTTTCTACCGCGGAAGATCTCCGTTCAACTCGGGGTCGAGCCATGATCCGTTTTGGGTAGTGCATTTCCTTTGCCTCAGTAAGAAGCGAGGTTCGCGTCCCACTAGTTCCTTCTCCTTCGGTTCCCACCGAAATAAATCGCGTGCAGATGGATCCAATTCACTGGTCCCGGGAGGCGGTGAGTCTCTTCCTCCTGAGTCGCGAAAGAGCCACCTAAAAATGTCCCACTCTAGCTAATATTGTCTCGATGGCGGACGGCCCGCATCTGCGTTGCATTCGACCTTCCTACTGTACTACCGCGGAAGATCCTCGGGGTCGAGCCTAGACCAGTGACTATCTGTCTATGGAAGTAAACTTGTCGATAGACGATCTGAGTTTGAAATTTCAATGCACATAAATTCCCAAAAAAGGCTATTGAATAGCGAGCCCCGTTCTGGCTCAGGTATTTTCGTTGGAGGAGCAGGGCGACTCGGGTGCAACTCATGATTGTATTCCACCTTACTCGAAGCCAAACGACCAATTTTTGAGTGCGCTAACCACCTTTTACATGGGGTGATGTGCGGTGGGGTTTTTTTAGATCGGAGCCGAGATCACCACTTATGTCATCTCCACCTTCCGCTCCACGGCTCCCACTCCGGGCCCCGGGCACCTAGGTGCATGACACTGCATGTAGCGTCTAGCCAGATGAATACATACCTCTTTATTTGAACCTTCACATACTGCGTGCTAAATTTCACCCTCCAATCCAAGAACAACAAATATGCATCCTCACTATCATCTCGGGCAACGCGGCGCTGACTTCAAGCAGGAATATTCTAACGCCTCCGGACACCCCGCGCCACACCCACGAACGGCAGGCCCTCAGAGAACTGCGCACTGCTGCAGAGCTAAGCCCACGCCGCCGTCGCGTGCCCAATCCGTTTCCCCAGATTCCCCGGGCTTCATCCAATAAAAACATACCGCCTTCGGGCCGTTCTGCTGCGAGGGCCGCTGGTCAGAAACGTCGCCGGGACAGAGAGAGACACGAACGAGCCGAAAATACCACCCTACCTGTGCAGCGGAGCGTAACACGAAAGCGCGAGGAGGATGACGAGAGGCATATGGATATAGACCGTGCGCTATCCTTATCTCCGCGCATTTCTTCGCCCTTGAACCGCGGTCCACAGCGCCCCCGAATCACCGCGCTCCGTCGCGTCTCGACCAATGAGAGATGATGACCGTCCGCCGGAACGACCCCATCGTTCCCGCGTCTTGCAGTTGCGACACTTTACATAGGGCACCCAGCGATAATCTTGACACGACCTTAGACCCTGCAAAACGGTGTTCTCACTCCCCCAGCCACGCAACGTCCCGAAGGAAACAATGGTGAGTCCCTCTCGCTTTCTTGACACGATTATTGAGATTTAGTTCAGTGAGTAGATGTGTCTTGAGGGGCTGCACAGGCAAACTTCCGACATGATCGGAGATGTACCAATCGACTACAGACTCCGCAAGACCCACGTTCTATCGCCGTGACGTCGGATCCAGCAGTATATATTGGCAATATCGGAATTCATCCCCACGCCTGAGGTTTTATGGAGTAGCACTGGCGAGAAATTCGCCGAAGTTGGGAGACGGAATCTCTGTGAGCAGGGACGAAGATCTTGCGCGTGAATTGGGGGTCATCTCCACTTGGTCTTAAGATATCACGAGAAAATTGCAGCTGTCACTCAAATATATCTGTCCAACCACATCGAAGTTTTTGAGGCGGTTTGAGCGGGCGCGAAGAAGCAAGCGCCGTAGACCAGTGGCTGTCTGGCTAAGGAAGTAAACTTGTCTTTGGTCGAAGTTTTTGAGGCGGTTTGAGCGGGCACGAAGCAGAAGCAAGCCCCAGGCCCAGAAGTAGTTCGTACGTGAGGGTGAAGATGCCGCTGCCCCATTTTCAACCTGACTGGCTTTTCCTATGTTCCTATGCCAGCGCCACGTCAAAACGGTCGGATGTGATAGGAGTCGGACTAGCCATTGCAAGTTCAGGACCAGACGATCCAACATCTCGAGCTCCACGAGTTGTGATCGCATACCGGTGATGACCACGCGGCAACCGTGCTCTACATCACGCTGGAGGTCGGCAAGAAGAGGAAAGCAGCTGAACCAATCAGCGGTGACCGAGGTCTTGAGTGCCGCCCACGACAGCCCAATGATGGCCAACGAGGCAGTCCGACTGAAGCTGACTAAAGCTATCCATCGGGCGCTTCCCTGTCAAGGTGCTTCTAGTCGAGTAAGAGCACCCTCTCCTCGCTTCCCCGAATCCCCATAGTGGTTCGAGAAGCTGAGTGTGGCTTTCCGGAGGAGAGGGTGCATTACTCTTACTCGGATGGAAGCGCCGGCATCTGATGGACAGCTTCAGTCGGACATCTTCTGGCGGGCGTCGGTACATCAAATGCTGGGCTACAGGACCTCGGGCACCGCTACCGTTCAAAACTCTGCCCTCGACGGCGAGGGTGGTGAGCTATGGTGATCTCGCCACCCCGCCAATGCCAGAATTGGATCCGTGATCCGACTTGTCTTCCCAATCAAGCAAATAACAACGCCGCGCCGTCCTTTCCAAGTCCTTTCTGCCACAATCTCGTCATTCAACGCGCTTATCTCCGGTAGAAAGTGGCTGTCTACTGGCGTCTCTGGGAGACTGTTTACATCGCCGCTGCCTCATCTCAGTCTGGTGCTTGTAGCTCAAGCTCTCCCATGTGGCTGTTCTCGTACACACCGCGCACCCATGCTGCCTTCGACACGCTGAATTCAAGGTTTTCCAAGATACTTAGAGGTTGAGGATATACTCATCTAGATCCACGAGCTGGATTTCTGGTCATAATTTTCTGGTAGTGAAATAATTTTCATCCTCTGTCCAGCTCTATTACGACCCTCAATGAATGCTTTTCACTCACTTCTCGTCAGCGTTCACCACAGATTCACGTCTATTTTCTCTTCACTGTGCATCATATGCTGATTCACTCACGCATCGCTGCCTTCGGGGTGATTGAAATTTCTTGGTTTTATTCCGCTTGTAGGCCCGGTAGCTCGGATAGACGTATCAACGAAATAGTATGTACTGGACAGTAAATCTTCAACAGTCTGGCTCTATCATCAAGGTCTCTCGATGTGCTTGCCGGCATTGTATGTCTCTCAACCTCTCGTCACGCTAGGCATGCACATACCTGTTGAAATTGACCCAGTTGAAGATGACTGTGTTTGCCAACTGCTCGGATTCGCACATGCACCGAGCCGTTCCGGTGGGACCTTTCGATACACGGGGTCATCACGGTTGATGCCAGATTGATTCATTGAATAATAGCCCAACATCTTGGAATGACCCCTCAAGTTTGAGCAAAGATACTCCCTTGAAGTACGTGTGGCATATGGAGGACTTCATCCGCCGGCATCTTACGCTCCGTCTTAGATTCCACCTCATTCTCAGAAACTTTACTGCGCTAAAGCGCACCCAAAAGGCTGAAAGTATGGCTATGGATCCATCATGGGAATCTACACTTCCTTCGCGGGCGGAGTAACTGCTCAGATTCTACAATTAGTGACTTCGACCTCACCGTTGCTTTGCAGGTCTATGCTTTGATCACAGACTATCCATGCAACCTAGTAAGGTTACTTCTGCCCTAATGGTTTTAAGAATATAATTCAAGGCATCGGTCGAGGTAAGTCATATTTTAGGTGTAATTGTTTTACTCTAGCCTAATCCAAGTCGGCCTAAGTATTGCAGCCCATCTTCGCGCGCAAGAACATTATCTAACTGCCCCTGACAGTATTGCTCGTTGTTGCCCGTTAACCTTTGCTAACATGTTCACTTGATTTTCGCGTCTATCCATGTGGAACTTAATTCTTGATCTCCGCGAGTTCAAGCAAGGCTGTATACAATACACGTACACCTCATGGATTGAGTCCCGACCTTGTACTTATGTACTTAAATTGGTACTAACATATGATCTTCAGAATTCATCCACACCTTTCAAGGAAGATGTACCAGCTCATTCCCATCTCAGACCATTGGAGTGTCCCTCGATACCGTGTTCATTCCATACAGGCGATTTATAGATGCATCCCGAGCCAGCAAATTGGCCATCCGAGGTCCACAACTTTAAGATGAAGAGAAAATCTCCCACTGGCAATGTGCCGAATTGACTTGGTAACATTTCATGGCTGGTCGTGCTCTTGTACTGACCTTGTTTTCGCCTCATTAGACTCAGGACCTTGTTCCCCGCTTCCAGTACGGCGGCTTCGAGGTCAATATTACAGCGTTAAGTGTGATTTCTTCGTCGGCTGACCACTTCAACATTTGACATTTAATGCCCTAGTTTCAAGCCATATTTTCACACAGATGCTACCCAGTGCTCCATTTCGTGTTGAACCGTGTACTCCCCCGGATCGCTTCAAAGTCCCCCGTAAGACTTGTACGAACCTGGGTTTTTCTCGCTCTATCAGTGACCTATCATAGTCTACAGACTTGGTTCTCAAGTTTGTTCTGTTTTCTTGTCAGAATGTGCTGATCTTGGGCTCTCTCTCCGGCGCACTTCCTCCAGTCAATCGCAAATGGGATGTTGATTTGTTGAGCCATTTCCCCGCGATATTTAACCCGCATGTGTCATGACTCTCTCTCCAGTGCGTCGAGCTCATACTAATGTTCCGCCGCCTATTGGGTTCCAAAGCACCATTATCCCGGGGGATTCAGCGGCTGCATTAAAATGAAAATACTGTTTGTTGAATACATTGTCAATCAGTGTTGTTGTTCAAAAGAGTCGGTTTCGTGTGTATTAAGATCAATAGCATGCACGTAGAATGAAAGATCCTCCTATTCTGACATGCTCGGGCACAGCCTAGTTCGCGTATATGATGTTGTTACATTGAGCTTTCGGGCCACTGGGTAGCGACTCTCGAGCGGGTATCAGAGGTCCTTTGGCCCCTTCCCCAAATGGGAGCCGAACAACCTGCGGATTTGATCGCCCGGCCGCTTCCCTGTCCATCGGCTGCTTCTTCTTTCAGCCGAGTAAGAGTAATGCACTATCTACTCTGGCTTTCCGTTCTCCCCAGCTCGGGTATATATACAATAACTCAAAGCACACCTAAAACCACACCCCGTATTCTCGTTCATCTCTGCCCATGTCTGCTACCACTACCATGACCGTGGCGGAGGAGCCCGTGATCACCTACGACATTAATATCTCGTGCCGCGATGCCAGCCTGGAGAAACCGGTGATAAAATACGCAGAGTACACTCCGACGTGGAACAAAGTTTGGTTCGACAAGCTTCCTCACTTCGAATTTTCCGATCCCGCGCTTCGTGCAGATAAACAGAAGCCCAACCTCCTTACTTCCGCTGCTGTCATGGAAGACATCACTCCGAAGATGGGCACCGTACTCCGGAACGTGCAACTTACGCAACTGTCGGATCGGGCCAAGGACGAGCTTGCCCTCCTCATTTCGGAACGTAAGATTGTCGCGTTCCCTGATCAAGACTTCATCGAAGCTGGCCCGGAGTATCAGCAAAAGTTCATGGATTACTTCGGAAAACGCAACTACCAGCCTGTTTCTGGAAGCATTCCAGGTCTGTCCTATTTTGTTGCTCGCTTACTGGTGCTCGCGCTGAGTGCCTCCTCAAGGACACCCGGGTTTCCACATTATCCATCGCGATGGCAACAAGCCGGAGCTTGACGCCTTTTTCGCCCAAAAGACGACATCGTGTCTCTGGCATCAGGATGTCAGTTACGAGATGCAGCCTCCCGGATACGTCATGCTGGGACTCCTAGATGGACCTAAAGTTGGGGGCGATACCGTGTTTGCGGCGACAGATGAGGCTTACCAGTGCGTTGAAATTCTCCGAACGCTTTCGCCGCTGAACCCGTCCAATCAGGCGTCTCTCACCTGCGATGCAAACATTCCTGAATGGAATCAAAGTCAAGCACTCATCTGCGAATATGATCAATCACACACGTCTCGCAGGGGGTCTTGTCCGCAAGGACCCCGTCACCTCCATTCATCCACTTGTCCGAGTGCATCCGATTACTGGAGCGCGCTGCATCTTCATCAACGGGGAATTCATTACGGGAGCGGTTGGGTTGAAAGATGTTGAGTGGCAGGCGATTTCCGATTTTCTGCTCCAACACTTGATTGGTTCGCACGACATTCAAGCGCGTGTTCACTGGAGTCCCAGAACGATCGTCATGTTCGATAACCGCTCAACCATCCGTAAGCCATCCCATCCGAGACGTATTGGTTCCTTTATAGCCCGATCAAACAGACACCGCCGTTGTGGATTATGTCGACGATATTCATGGAGCGCAACCGCGCCACATATTCCGCTTGGCAGCTATGGCCGAGAAACCCATCCCTGTTTCAGAAGCCTGAACATATAATCGTCAATGTAAATTTCTACAAGTGCAAATGTAATAACAAGTTCGTATCGTACCCGAACTAGCCGTCACAGTCCAAGCGAGTCCGCCTCGAGGATGCAGGGCCACTGAACCTCCATTAATACCCACACAGCATCCGATCATTGCCCCAGATTTCATCTACGACTTTAATTCCAACTGGCGTCCACGGATCAATCAAATTGAACTGTTTAACACAGGCAGATCGACAATCCCACTTTGCTGCATTGAATGGTTGACATGTTCTGCTGTTTGAATTCATTTCCGCGCTTTCCATCCCTTCGGCATCATTTTAGACCAGCTCCAAAAGTGCCGAGAAAGTCCCGGTGCCACCGAACTTTTCCCACCATTTGTATAAAGTCCACGAATCTAGAGTGCGCCCGCGGAATACACCTCGCATGATCAAGCTTCGGGCTTTTCTCTCCGTATTTACCTTCGTCGTTTGTGCCACGGGTGAGATCATCTACGGTGGTCGCGTTCCGTATTCAATGAAAACGGCGTTCCTGGATACGTCCACCGGTTCGTTCTTGACGTGCTTCGGATTTAATTCTCATGAAAGTCGGTTGCTGACCTTACAATTCACAGTTCCGTGAAGGGGCAAAACGCCAGTGCATCATATGTAAGCTGACCACCGATATTTGCACCCAAAACTCACCCTCGGCATCCCCAGTACTCCACTCTACTTGGGCACTCCTCCCAACGCCGCTATGGAACGACTTGGGGATTATCCCGAGGGAACAAATCATTTCAATCCGGATAGATAACACCTCGGTCTTCGTTCCGGGAAGCGGGCCGCCACAGTACGGGTTCCGGCGCACCGAGTTTATCGCCCAAAAGAATGGAAGCTCGGCGGCACTGGAGGCGGAGGCGGACACGGGACTTTCCATTTTTCACTTCTCGATCAAGGCGTACCTCTCGCGGCCGTTGAATTACAGCCACGAGTACCAGATCGTGTTCATCGATCCGAACGACGGGTCGCATGTTTTCGGGATCCAACTAGGTACGCGCCCGCTCACTCCATCTCCATAGTTTTTGGATGACGCTCTCGGTCAGGCTCTCCCTTCGCCAATCCCACTGGCCAGCTCCCCGCCAAAAACGCACATTCATTCAAGGTCCTGGATCACGGGTTGAATGTCCTGTTCACCGCGCCGTTCATACACCTTGTGTGGCACAGCTTTGCCATCACCATGGATTGGGACAGCCGCACGCTGCTCGTAGCATACTCACTGGATGGGCGTCCGCTGAAGGCAGTGACCTTCACCGTCCCGAATCCAACGGCTGCTGCGGTGCTACGGGGGATTTTCATTTTGGAGTTTTGAAGGTTCAACGACTGGTGTTTTCTGGTTTGGAGTCATTACTGAATCCAGAGGGATACATAGCTCCCACTCTTAAACCCGGAGGGCTCCCCAACTGATCAAACCGATGTGGTCCACCATGGAATTCAAGAAGGCACTACGGAGGGATTGTTTTATTCAGGAGTATTCGTGGAGAGGCGGAATCCCATTTGATAGCGGCGGAATTTCGGATCCTCCTGTCAAATTATCTCACTAGGAGTTAAAAATAGGGACACGCGCTATGAAGTACGACAGTCAATTTTGGCAGCTTGAGTCCTCAAAATGTATTTGCCTAAATGCAACGGATGGGATTCACGGCCAATAGACTGGCTGAGAAGATAGAGGCGGTCAGAAACAGCTAGTCTCTATAAAAACACGCGAAAACTTTCACTCGTGCCTCGCGATGTTGCCAGAAAAACCGTAACTTTCTTTCGCGACCTCAAGCCCCTAAATGAGTGTTCTAGTTTGTAAAGTTCAAACCACACTGGCTTAAACCGGCCTAAACCATGAGTTCAAACCACATGGTTTAAACCACCATTGGTTCAAACCCAGCCATCCAAGGGAGTGGTTTGACCCAAGATGGGTTAAACCAGGCTATCATTGGAGACGATGCAGTTTAAACTTAAATCCTCCTAGGGTACGAGGGTCGTTCTATATCGTCCCTTGCACATCGTTTCACAGACTTGATGTCTAGGAGAGCTTCTACCCGATGCCGTGAGTCTCTTTCTCTAGCACCGCAACCACTGGACTCAATTAATCTGTAGGAGCGTCAACCGAATGGCGGTGACTTCACGAATGCGCCTCATCGTTAATCGACTTACTGAGCCACGGCCTCTTGCTGGTACCGGCTCGATGGCGGACGGTCCGCGTCTGCATTGCATCCGTCCGATTTGTGTGCCGTGTATGCGGAATGTCCCCGTTCGACTCGGGGTCGAGCCATGCGAAAATTGGCAGGTCGCTGTTTTTTGTCGTGCATTCCGAGGCTCGTGCTCCTTAGGGCTGGCTCAAGGAACTCCATGCACTGATTTTACCGAGGGATATGTCCGTTGCACGGCGAGTCCCGGTAGCTCGCTTTCTTTTTCTTTCACTAATACGCTTGAGCCCACAAGCTGAACTACCGAGGTCTCACTGCCAGCTAGTATCGGCTCGATGGCGAACGGTCCGCATCTGCACTGCCTGTCTATTTCTGGCACCCTGTCCAAGGCAGAAGATTCCCGTTCGACTCGGGGTCGAGCCACTAATTTGGGAGTACGTCCTTTTGTTCGCGGTGAGGTTCCCTTTCTTGGCACATCGCTTCCGACTGAATTTTCCCATGCGCCGAAGGGTGAGCATCACGCCTTTTTTTTAACTTCACTATTCTTAACGCAGGTGAGTCCCTTTCTTTCACCAATACGCAGCATACTCAAGGAGGACACACTCCCGAAGCATTGCAGGACTATGTATACCGTTCCGATGCTTGAGGAGTGGGAGCTGCCATGAGAGGAGTCGCAAAGCAGGAAGGATGGGCCGTGGGTGCGAGAAGCACGTTGCTTGCTGGTCAAGTGTAGAAAAGTTATCAGCGCCGTCGCTCAAAATAGTCCTCGTAGGAAGAGTGGCGTTCAAATCATCAAGGCCATACAATACAATTTGAACGGCCTTGAATCGAATTTCGAAGCAAGGTACGTATTCGCAACGCGCTAAGATCCTAAAAATGTGAATGTGAAAGAAGTCTTCGATTGGGCCATGCCACACAATCCGTCATGAAAGAATTGCGATAAGTGGCGAAAAGCAGAGCCCCTTGTTGGGAATGAAGCGACTCGTTCAAACAAAAGAGATGGTGCGTGAGCACGACGATAAACATCAATTTAAAAAGATGTAGATAATAATGTCCTGGGTATGAATGTTCGGATCGTGATGCAAGGATTTGCAATGTGTGGTCGAGGCGAATTAGAATCCGACGTGCGAGCGGAACCAGTCTTGGTTGGGGTTGTTGTTGCCGGCGCAATCCCAAAGCTGAATCTATCGACCAAGAAAAGGAACGACTCAAGTCAGCCCGGCGACAGCAGGCAGAGGATGAGAGAAACGCACCGGAGTGCCGCTCGTCGATCTTCCGTCAGTGAAATCGAAACACTTGCCCTTCCCGCTCCACTCGATTTGTCCGACCCCGGTGTGGACCGTGAAGAGCTGGTTAGTGTTACCGGGGGTGCAGGTCCAAAGTTGGAGCTTGACGCCGTTGGCGGTCGACCCGTTGGGCACATCCAGACATTTATTGTCGAAAGTCTTAATTTGGCCGATGAGCGGTGTAACGGGTACCGTCCATGTGACGTTGCCGCCAGGAATAGTGGTGCTGCTGGTGTCGTCGCAATCGGAGAGAACTACCGCGGCGCCGTCGGCGTTGGAGGCACCGGTGATACAGTGCTCTGTTTCGTTCGCAGCAACTGTGTAGAATGTTCAGGCCAGAGGAAAGTGGAACGGTGCGACGCGTTGCTTACTGGAACCACCAATTATACGATCAACACTATGGAGTGAATGATTAATTGAGGCTGGCTGGATTAATGGACGGAGGACTCGGACTCACTCAGAGGTATCCGGATTGGGTTCGCCGGTCCACTTCTGGTTCTGATTGCCAGTGCTGCCAGTACCGCAAGTCCAAATCTGGAGCACGTTGCCGTCGGTGATTTTACCGTCGGAGAGATCGATGCATTTGTTGGTACCGCTCCACTGGAAGGTGAAGTCATTGAGGGAGGTCCACAGTTGGTTGGTGTTCCCCTCAGAACACGTCCAGATCTGGAGTTTTATGCCGTCTGCGTTGACACCACCCGTAACGTCGATACACTGAGGAAACGGTCAGGAAATTGAACAGAGCAGTCAAGATACACACACGCACCTTGTCTCCGAACACCTGGATTTACTGGGGGCCGGCAGGTTGTCTGGTAAAGAATGACACCTTCCAGTCCTGGTTCGCGAGATTCGGCTCGGTGTTGCAGTCGTGGATAATGAGAGGTTCACCGTCCACATTGTCAGCAACGGCGATGCAGCCCTGAATACCGGCGTTTGAGACTAGAAAACCCAGTAAGCTTCGACTCCAAGCAGAAAGAGAGTCCTAGTACAAGCAGGATTGAAGCTCTGAATTTCGACAGCAGCGGCTGACAAGGAGAAGCCTATGGCGAGGGCTGAATGGTTGGGAGCTGTCGTTTCTCTTACATTTTTATTCTGGTCCTTCTACTTTGACAGGCAGGCTCATCCTATTCCTTCAAGTTCCTCGGCATTTAAGTATCATGGGTACAATCGAGTCTGTTGAGGGAACAGCGGCAGACGATTACAACCACCGAGACGGCGGATCTAAGGGGTTACACCCCACTTGATATCGGTTCGATGGCGGACGGTCCGCATCTGCACTGCGTAAACTTCTATGGCGTTGCCCGCGGAAAATCCCCGGTCGACTCGAGGTCGAGCCACTTGGGACTGTGAGCAAGACTTTTGGTCGCGCGTTCTTTTCTTCGGTGAGGTGACGTTGGGTTTCTCACTCCTTCCTTTGAGGGTGATTAAGTAATTTAATTTACAGGAGCTTCGACCGGATGGCGGTGCCTCCCTTTCCTTCGCACACCCAAACATGTGGAGGCCCAGTCCACCTCTAAATTGTACCGGCTCGATGGCGGACGGCCCGCATCTGCATTGCATTCGATAATTCCGCCTTACTACCGCGGAAGATATCCGTTCAGCTCGGGGTTGAGCCATGATGTATCTTCATCTGTTTTTCGTAGTGCATTTCGTTTACCTCAGTAAGCGAGGTTCGTTTCCCACTAGTTCCTTCTCCTCCGGTTCCTACTGAAACAAATCGCGTACAGATGGATCCAATTCACTGGCACCGGGAGGCGGTGAGTCTCTTCCTCTTGCGTCGCAAGAGCCACCTAAAAATGCCCCACTCTGGCTAATATTGTCTCGATGGCGGACGGGGTGCATCTGCATTGCATTCGACCTTCCTGCTTTACTGCCGCGGAAGATCTGCGTTTCCCGTTTTGCACGCCTTTCCTTTCATAATCGAGGAATTTGCGTCCCGGATAAAATTCAACACGAGTGGTGCCGTGCCGCCTGTAGAGACTGCAGACAAAATCATCCCCGTGCAACCTCAGAATTCATGGTGGCCCAGTGCCATCGGTCGCGAACCTTAAGATTTATACATCAGAGACTGAATTTTTTGCGCAGGGGGTACTTATATTATACATTGGGTCGGGTCCGCTTTCATGGTGGTGGACATATGTGAAGCAGGAGAAGAGATTGCGGCGGAAGCTTAAGGGCACTTTTTGGGGGTCTCTCCCACTCGGAGGAGACCCGGCGGTCTTATACTTCGATAGGCTTCTAATTGCACTAGATGGGTTTCTAATGAAGTTGGCGTGTTGAAGTGGAATTGCAAGTAAATTAATACAACGGTTTCTAATCGACTGATGAAGCTGCATCCACTTTTCCTAACGCGTCGCCAAAGGTAAGCGGAGCAGCGCAGGTACACACTCATTGCACCAAGTCGCGCGGTGCACCTCGAACAAGCCACGGCCCGCCGAAAGTGAACTCACGCAGAATTCACCTCCGCGGAAATTGAACTCGTTGACGCGCGCTACCGAAAAGACCTCTGAAGGGCTGCGAAATTGCACCGTCGCCGAACAGGTCGGGGAAGAACCTGGCGATGTGTCAGCACGGGTGCACGGAATTCAAGAAAATGGACGCTCACTGGGGACGGTGCGGGCTGTCCCGCGGGCGACCGAAAGGGAACTCTCTGTGGGTGCGGGCAGGTTCCAATGAGAGCGGCGTGCACACACCTTGCTCGCGGGACGCTGATCCGTGATATGAGCAAGGAGACGAGCAGTGCTTGCGCACCGCATCACAGTCTTTGTCTCCTGCGGGCTCCGGACTCGTAGAGCGCACCGTTCCCGCGCGTACCCGTTTCGTGCGGAGGAAACCGCCGTCGAGTGGGGGCATGGAGGACCGCGCGGGTGTAAGGGAGTGCGGGGCACGGCCGTCCAAGTGGGGGCTTGCTGGTGGAGAGCTGCGGCGCAGCGCAGGCCTCGGAGCAGCGCATCGGGCAGGGGCGGCGGCTTACTGGACTGTGGGCAAGAGACGCCGAGGGAGGGCGGGTCAGCGGGCATGCAGGTGTTCATGAGTGGAGCTTACACCTGCGTCGTTAGAGAAGAGTGGGCTCGGGAGCGGATGGAAGGAGAGGGCACGCAAAGTTCCTCGCCGGCCTGCACCTTCTCTTGACACTTCTGAAAGTAGTGTTTCATCGACGAGCACTCGTGCCGCGCCTCGCACTCTGCGCAGAGCGCGGGGTGCGCCTGCCCCAAACCATATCAACACTCTCCCTTACACACACACACACACACCCTCAAGAAGAGAGACACCGGTCTCTTCCTCCTCCCCGCGGGCGCCTCCTTGGGCTCCTCGGGGCTACCGTCCTCGGCGGGGGCGGGCTTCTCCTCCTCGGCGTGTGTGGTGGGGAAGAGCCACGAGATGAACAAGCCGATTCCCGACATGGAAGGGTGTTTTCGTGAAGTGGTGTGTGACTGCAATGAGTGACGGGGGGTGCCTCGGGAGTCGGGATAATGCGGGGGATGCGACAGGCAAAACACGGACTAAAGCCTGTTCTTGTACGTCCACCTGGAACCAGTCGCAGTACCGAAGCTATGATATCCCAATCCTACGCCGCTTCTTTTTCAGGTTCTGCTTGCCAATTTGGCTCTACACCGGTCACCCGGCCGCGGCACCGAATGGTGACACAGGTTTCACAGCAGGGAGGAGAACTCAAAGGTAGGCTTGGAATTATCACCTTCTGTATTGAACCCCCGCCCCCGCTGGATGGCCAGTACTGTCAAATCGCCCGAGGCCGTGAACGCACGAGACGGACGTAACGGCGGTAACGCGGCGAGTACTTAGTACTCGTTCACTTTTCGCCTCAACGTGACCTCCGA